TAACTACCACCTAAGATAAAACAGGATGATACAAAGTAGAAGCCAATACCGGAATTAAAAGACTGTTTCCAGAGCACCAATTCTGGTGTTCTTTACCTCAAATCTTACTATCCCCAAATAATAAGTCTGATTGCTTCATCTAAGATTGGCACCTATATAAGTCTACACTGTGACCTATACAGTGATTTAGAATATGAGGGTTTAAGAGAGTAGAATTGGCTTGTTGTTCAATAAGAGCTCTGGTGCACCAACTGGGCCTGTCATCCCTGGGAAAGCTGTTTAGCCTTTTCCACCTGGGCTCCACCTAGCCCTGCTGAACACTCTTGGGGGCAGAACACTGGATTCTTCATGAGGAATAAGCTCACTGATGATATCTAGGCCTCTTATAGGACTAAAAGAATGCTTCATTTCCTACCTGAGAAGCTTGGAAGCTTCATAGGAATGTAACAAAACAATGAAAAAAGTCCTAGATCAAGACTCAGTAAAAGCTGGGTGTTGGTGGTGCACGCCTTTAATCCCAGCACTCGGGAGGCAGAAGCAGGCAGATCTCTGTGAATTTGAGGCCCCTGGTCGACAGAGCGAGTTCTGGGACAGGCTCCAAAGCAATACAGAGAAACCCTGTCTCAAAAAACCACACACACACACACAAAAGATTCAGAAAAACTCTTCAAGTGAAAAATAAGACTGAAATCAATGGTTACCTGAAATATGCCATTCAAAACCATTGCTAGGTACGAATATATAAACTTTGATGTTGCAGATTTTATGAATGATTAGCTAATATGTTATCATTAGCAAGAGACCTAGAACTTGGAGCAGGTAGACTCTGGCATGCACTGTCAGTGTCATATCAGACTATAAATCTTCCTGCTCATACGGAAGCACTGTCTATGACTCCACCTCAATCTTATTCCTCCTGTGTTATCAGTAGACATGACTGGAATGAAAGGTGAGGTCCCTAGAATTTAAGGGTCCCTACCATTGAGCAGGAGTAAACCATCTTCTGTACATGTGTCGAAGACCAGGAAACTGTCCACTAACCAAAGCTAGTTCCTCAAGTGCCTTCCCCATTCAACCATTCTGGTATAGGAAAATGATAAAGGAAGGGAAATTTTATATAACATGGATATCATAAACATTATGAAATGCATGTAATATATATATTTAGTTCCAGGAAAAGGTGACAAGAACAAGGAAAATGGGACCAAGATGTGCCCAAAATAGCAAACTGCAAAGGTGTGGGGGGGGTGGGACTCCTTTTATGGCTGCATTAGGGAAGTTTATATGAGATCATGGCATAACTAACTTTAAGTCTTAGAAGTCATCTACCATCCTAAATATAAAATGTTTTTACTAAAGCAGGACTTTAAACTGTGGCCTCAAGAGCAACAGCAGTGTTATCACCTAGAAATTTGCCAGGAATGCAAATATCGGGTCCCCTCTAAAGTACAGTGTGTGGGGGAGAGAGAAAGGTGGGGGAATGTTTGTGAGTGAGTTCTGTGTGTGTCTGCTATCTGGTGAAATACCTGGAGCTAAGTGTAGTTTAGTGGTAGAGCACTTACCTAGCGTCCATTGTGTCCCCAGAATGTATAGATGCATAGGCTGACTGAATCTCAATCTCTCAATCTCTCAATCTCCTCTCCTCTCAGTATTTAGCAACTACAGTGTTTGTGAGAACATAACTTTACACTGAACAAGAAAGACAGAAGTCAAAAACCTATTTTTTACAGAGTACCCTAAGCATACTCCATACATGTTAATATTTTTATTATACAGTATATTTTCCAAAGACTTTCTACAGGCTTTTAAAAAACTCAAGAAAGAGAATTGAAAGCTCACTATTTTAAAATTATGATATAAGCATGCCTTTTTAATAAAGGCAGCAGCAATAAAGCTCACTCAGAGAAAGTAGCATTCATTGGTTTCTTGAAGGGTTATTAAGATAGAAGGTCTCCAATCAGAAGTTCCCCTTTTTTGTTGTTTCACTGTTTGAAAGGTGACATTTCAACCTCTTATCAGCCATCACAAGACTATTCAAATTTAAGGCTGACACTTTGTCCTTTACCTTGTTCCAAAATACTGCAGGGGTTATACTGTCCAATGCTACACCATATGGGCAGACTCTGGATCCAGCAGGCAGGGGTAAGCAAGATGCCTCTGTATCTTGCCATTCCTCTGCTCCCTGTTGTTTTTGGAACAACTCTCACTTTAGCTAAACATAACCCTTCTGGGCGATTCATTTTTAGTAAGAGAATCTGCCTTCCGGCAGAGCCTCCAAAATGCTGATTACATTCCGACACTGAGCTAAAGCCTCTCAGAACTCACTGATTTGGCATCTTCTGGTCTTTAAAAATACTCACCCACTTTATGAAAAAAAAATCAAATAAAACTACTAACCACAAAAGTTGTGTGAACAAAAAGAAAAACAATTATGTAGTGAACAACTGGAGAAATTCTTCTGAAGGCATTGTATCTTATCATCTGTTTTCTTATTAACTGTTGATGATTAGCAACAGATTTGGAAAATCTCTCTCCATGTTCCAAGTTATTTTTTAACTCTAAATTCATCATTATCTGTGGTAATAGGCATTATCAGTTTAAGAGTTAGAATTTTTAATAAACCTCTTTAGGTTTTTACTACCAAAATTATTTCTGCCTGACCTAGGAAACATGTATAGGAAATAAGACAATGGCAACTGTTGAAGACTGTGGAGATCGGTAAGAATAATTGCTGCATAAACACGAGTGCTTGGGTTCAGATCCCCAGTGCTCACATGCAAAGTCAAGCTTTGCTGTGCATGTACCTGAAACCCCAACACTGTTGAGGGTAGAGATGGAGGATTGCTTGGCTTGCAGACTGCCAGTCTAACTCCAGATTCAGGGAGAGACTCTGTCTCAAGAGAACAAGGAGGAGAGTGACAGAGCAGGAGAGCAGGACATCTGATGTCCATCTCTGACCTCTGCATGTACCTACTAATGTACATATGTGCACATACTACACACAGAGAGACACAAGCACACCTGAAAAAGTGATAAAGAGGGAGGGAGGGCCAACCATATCAATGATATCTATCCCTAATTTAATGACAGTAACTCTTACCAAACAGGAGATTATGAAACATATATACAAAGAAAAGCATGATTATTTTAAAATGTATATAACTTTCTCAATTGTCTGTTCCCTTCGGTAGTCTATAAAGTGAAGAGTTTGCTCCATATAATTCAAAAAAAAATCTATATATAGCTTAGAGAGGGAAGGATAAATCTCCAGGGTCTTGGATTCACTTCTTGTTGCCTTCCTTCATTACACGTTTAGAGATAATCAATAAAAGCTGATTTCTCTTTGTAAGCATTTTCCTATTCTGCCAGAAATAATAGCAATCTCTGCTCCAAAATGAAAAAGAATGGAAAGTAATATTTACCATAAGAGGAGAAAAATGAAACTGCCTAAGCATTTTTCCGGAGCCAAGTAAAACAACAGCAAGCCCAGTTTATGATCAAGGAAAAAAATTCTTCCCTATATCACCAACATTAGTTTTGCTCTAAAAAATCTATGACATCAACAAGTTTCCAAACACTGCATTTACATTTCCATTTTCAATGACAACCTCCTATGCTTCCTAAAAGTTTTACTATATTTCTGTGTGAATTTAAGTATTAAAGACAATAAAAAGCCAATGGTGAGTAGAGAAGCTGGCAGGAGAGACTGTCAGGCCCCCAAAGCACCTCCCAGCACAAACAAAGATACAAAACCCAGTGAGGTTTATTCCAGATAAGAAAACAAAGGACTACACATCAATCTAAGTCTTTCCTGGACACACAAAAGTGCTTTGCTGTACCCATTTTCAGCACACTTAACTTACAAAGTTTTACCATAAATAATCTCAAATAAGGCACTGGGGTTTTCTAATCTGTACCAGACACCACAAAATGGTCTTTTGTGGGGGCCTTTCCTTCTTCTGGATTCTTTGAAAAAGGCTGTAAGAAAATATCAAGTGGAAGAAGAATAAATTTTTACTTTGTTTTAAAGTTACACACACAATTTTACAGGTCTTCCAGGCTTCCTGTTTCCCTTCAGTCTGTACCATCGATGGAGGTTGTCATATTTCACCAGGGCGTATTGTAAATCAGACAAGTTCAGCCAGTCAGGTTGAAGGATGGAGGTGAAAAAGCCCAGTGGAAAATATATAAAGTGCAATTAGAACCATATGACCAGAGATATTGAAGCAATACTCGCTGGAAGAGCGCCAAGTGAAAAACCAGACCTTGTCTGGTGTTAGTGAGAGTATCCAGTCGGTTTGGGACAGCTCACATCAGTCTCTAAACACTGTATTCTTTTCTTTCCTCCACAGAAAAAAGTTACCAGAGAAGTTAAAATCTCACGCTCTAATCAGTCTAGAACTGTATTTGTAACACAGTGAAAAACATAGTTGCCAAGATGAAATTATAACTCACCTAAAACTTACTATGAAATGTAGTGTAAAATTAAATAAGGGTCAATATTATATCCACCAGGAGTTTTAAAGGCTTATAATGATCACAATATTGAACCAAACACCTTTTGCATTTTTCTGTGAAATCCTTGCCTCTAAAGACCTCAAGTGTCTAGCAAGGCAAAGACAACCCATGGGTCTACTGTTGGACAAAAGCAGCATGAAGCTGTAAAATACAAACTATCTCATCAGTACATACATTACAAACAGCCTATACATGCATGTCTCACTCATAGAGGTACCCAGCAGGCCAAGGGTGTGTGTGTGTGTGTGTGTGTGTGTGTGTGTGTGTGTGAGGATGAACAGGCATAAAGAACCCTGATACTGTAAAAAGAATTCCAGAAAAATCTTTGACGCTACTGTATCTATTACCATGGTCATTTCAGATCTATTTCTCCTTGCATTCCAAGTGTCAATTACAATTCCATCAGTAGATAAATGAAACATAATATTCAATACTGCTTTGAGATTCTATGGGAACAACTCAAGTTTAGTTAAGTCACTTACCTCCCAGAAACTGTATTCCTCCAGCCACTCTTCCTACTGTCCTGGAGATGAGCTCTGATACACAGCAACCCATAAGGGCAGTGAGAGCTACCAGGAGGAGCAGGCCACAGCCCAGGCCTGTCACTATGGTACAGATCCTCCATTCTGCGCTGGGGATGCCCTGGAAGGAGGCATAGCGACCACATTCTTCCACCATCACCATCATCTGCCGACTCTCATCATGCACAGGATACGAGCATCTCCGGAAAGTGCCAAAGGACACAGGCTTGCCCAGCTGAGATCCCCAGAGCCAGTAAGGCATGAAAAACCCCACACAGGAGGTGGCAGCACAAAGGAAGGAGAGCAAAGCCCAGATTACTCCGGTACAAGTCAGGCTGGATGCCATCTTTCACCAGGCAATGCAATGAGGACCCAATGTGACTGTCCTGAAGGTATGAATGAAGGCTGCCAGGTAATCCACAGTTCTTCAAAGGGGACACAGCTACTGGCAGTAACAATCGTTGGTCCTACTGGGTATCAAACCCTCATACTTTGTAGTAATGATGGTGGCCCCTGGTAAAAGAGCAACAGGAAACAGTGAAAGTTAAGTACTTCTAGCTTATTTATAGGCCTCTAGAAGCGCTATAATTTTCAGTTAAGGAATGTCAAACTTGCTTCAATGCTTCAAAAGTGGGAAGAACTAATTCTGTCCATACACATCTCTATACAAGTTTTGCCAAACTAGCTCAAAGCCTCCCCATGTCTTTATCTCCCGTAAAATGCTCCCAAATTAATTCTGACAGCTATTTACTTAAAGAAATGAATGGCTTCTATTTGCCAAGCCAGTGAATTCATTTCACATACTCACATTAAAAGCAATGTAGCGTTTTTTGTTGTTATTTTTTTTTTACTTGCAGTGGACATAACTCAGGACATTAAAATAAAATGAACCATACTGCTGTTTATTTCGCTTGCAAGTTCACACTTAGTTCCTAGCAACTTGTCTGTATCCCTTGATGGGTGTGCGGACCAAGCAAAACGATGGTAACTTCCTACAATTACAGAGTACTGTAAATTTAACTAATTTATCTACCACCCAGGTGTATGTATCAGATAGAACCATGGTCGTACACTCCCAGTACCCAACAACACTGAGAACTCCTTCGGCCTTAATCTCCCAGGGTAAATGCAAGCCTCTATTATTTTCACTTCTATTTCGACTCATTGGCTTCAGTGATTTCACCTGCTGGTCATTTCACCTGTTTAACTTACCCGGACAGAGCGCTCACACTTTTCCAATACTCAGTGTCAAGCATCAGCTATTCGACTAGGTGGGTTGACTTGCACACCTGAAAACACTCACCACAATGAATGCAAAAGTACACCCACCCTGGCGTTCCATCTGCAAACTACTTCCTAACTTCAGCCTCAGAGCCTAGAGCAAACTCTGTTTCCTAAGCTTCTCTCGCCCTCAGTTCTGGATTCTACCCAAAGGGAGCTCCCTCTGGCTACAGTTTTAAAAATCTTGTCAGCTGTGAGCCCAGGCTGGAGTTGAGTTGGTCTGGGGATGACCAGCAATTGGGAGGGGTAGGAGGAAGGAGGGCCTCTTCCTCAGCTGGAGTGAGGTGCCCTAGTCCAGATCAACTCAAAGCCGCCCCCCCCCCCCGCAAACTGCTCACCCACCGTACCCTGGGGCACCAGGGACACACACAATGATCTCTGGATGCTAAGCAGCACCGGGAAGTTCTTGCAGCCGGTTCTGAGGAAGGGGCCAATAAGGTTGGAAAGGCAGCACCCCCCGGAGGCAGACACTGACCGCAGCTGAGCCACGCCGCTCAGGAAGTCATGGGTGTGGGGAGGGGGGACCCGGGTGCCGGGCTCGGGGCTGCGGGACGCGCTACTTACCCGGCCGGGCGGCGGCCACGGTCCCTAACGGGTCCCGGGCGCAGCACAACTTGCTGTCTTCCCCTGGCGGGGACAGAGCAGTACAGAAGACTGTCCTCCTCACCTTCGCCACTATTGCGACGTAGATCCGGACGACTCTGGAGAGCCGGGGTGGAGGGTCAGGAGGACCCGCTCGGAGAGCCCGCCGGCTGTGGCCGTGCGGCCCGGGAGCACCGCGGATGCCGGCTCCAGCTTTGGCAGGCGAGGCACGCGCCGCCTCCTCCCCGCCCTCCCCTTTCCTCTGTCCCCTCCCCTCGGCCCCGCCGCGCAGTCCTGGACGCGCGAGAGTGGGGGCGGCAGACAGACTGAGAAAAATCAGGGAGAAAGTTGCTTGCCTTCTCCGCAGCTCCTCGGGGGCGCCGAGGCCACACCCTACCCCTGTATTCTTTTCTGGGTCAAACATTGGGGTCTGGGGCTGCAGTGTTCCCGCAGCCTTTGAGTAGACTAGGGTGGGAAGTAGCCTCAGAGTGGGTAGAGTCTGTGAGCTTTAAGGGCTGTTGAGAAGTGATCAGTTTGGAGGACAGAGACCATGAAGGGTGTGGACGTAGATACGAGAAGGCTGGGCATGTAACCCGAGGCTGCTGGATTCAGTGGGGGACAAGCCAGAGAGAAAGCAGGCAACTCCTTCAGCCAGCCTCTCCCAACAGCTGCACACCTTTGAGAACCTCTTTCAAGACATTTCTTTTTCTTCCCGATGTTCCCCACTCCCTTCCCTCCTCCTCTCCCCCTCCTCTTCCCTTTTCTAACTCCCCCTCCTCCCCTTCTTCCTCTTACCCTCTCCATTCCCCCCACCCATGATTAGTCGTATAATCTATACAACCTTTGGATTTCCTTTCTGAAAATCATCCCCCTTTGATTTCTCCTTAGGACCTGCCAGGGGTTCTGACTTCCTAGCAGCATTTAACCCTTTGGAAGCCGCAACTGTGTTCTGTAAGGTGACACCTGGAGCCTCCACTGAGGACAATTATTTTAGGAAGCTACCATCTGGGAACGGCAACTTTTGAAGTACATACTTTCCCAGATACAGTTTTTGTGATGTGCTTTTTCAAAGTAGTTGGAAGTAATAAATGTGTGAGAATATATTTCATAATAAAATTTCAAGTGCACCATTTAATTAGGTAGCATCAGCTAGAGACAGGGTTTGTTTCATGATTGTTTGAAAGGTTCTAAGTGATTGATTCCAAGCCTGCCCTTTGTAAGAATATGATGTAGGTAATGAGTCTCCCAGGAAAACAGTACAACGCACGGTAAGCTTTCTCACAAAATTCCTAAGAAGGACAAAGAACAGTTCCCAGGAGACATTCTGCAAAGTCTGGAGATTTATTTATTTATTTATTTATTTATTTATTTATTTATTTATTTTGGTAACCATGACCCATGACTGGGAAGGCACTACTGGCAGCTAGTCCATAAAAGCCAGGGATCCTGCTCCGCACAGTACACAGGACACATCCAGAATAATCTAGCTTAAAGTGTGAACAGGCCAAGACTGCAGGGACCTGTTTCAAAATGCCACATAGTTCACAGTCATCCATGGACCTCAGGTTTAGAGGTCTAGATCTGAAGTTTTCCTTCTTTAATTTATGCTTCAATTCTTCTTGTGCAAATCACCAGTTGCTGAGTGTGGGTGGAAGCCATATGACTGGTCTGACTCCCAGCTAAGTAGCCCTCCCTCCCCTGGCCGCCTGGTACTCTCACACATCTCCTATCTATGTAATGTGGAGGTAGCAGATACCAACAAAATTATATAGTGGCAGCCAGACCTACCCACCCACCCACGCACACTCACACACTACCTACTAGAGAACTTGTCTGGGATACTTTCTCAAGCTTAGAGGAACTTTCGATAGTGACATGGATTGCCAAGGAAGCATTAGTAGTGATCATGTCAAGTGCAAATTCTTTCATTACCTTGCATCAGGGCACTAGGTTTATGAATAGATGGTTTCATCTCATTCCCAATGAAAGGGAGTAAAAAGCAATGAAGGTGGTTATTATTTTACAGAGAAACAATGATTTACTTGAAAGCATATGGTTAAAATATGAACTTATAAAAATTATCTCATTATTTGCATTCTATTAACTGATGTGTAACTATTATCAGAGAGGTTTGGTTAATATAAGAAATGAAGAAGTCTAGCCGGGTGTTGGTGGCACATGCCTTTACTCCCAGTACTCGGGAGGCAGAGGCAGTCGGATCTCTGAGTTCGAGACCAGCTTGGTCTAGAAGAGCTAGTTACAGGAAAGCCTCCAAAGCCACAGAGAAACCCTGTCTCGAAAAACAAAACAAAAAGCAAACAAATAAACAAAAGAAATAAAGAAGTCAAGAACCGTAAATCCTATCATATCAGAATATTAATTAAATGAAATCATGTGGGCTGCATTGCCTGGGACTCAACATTCTAATGAAAGTGAGAGAATCTGGATAAACAATGACCTGCCTGCCTGAATCTGTTGCCTTGTTTGCAATATAGAGTTCGAAACTATTACATTTAATGTTTCTGAACCTCAGAGTTCTCCAGTCTTGGAGAAGGGAGTAAGGAGTCATCCAATCATGCATGTCAATCAAAGCAGGGCCTAGAATCACAACTCTTAGTTCCCCTTTCATTCCACCATATAATTATCTTCCCAAACTATAAAATCTCCTGAGTTACTCTCCAGGTTCTGGCATGGATACTTTACATGCACATGCATTGTAATATCTTTAAAAACCTTTGCATTCGATTTACATCTTCAAGGGATCTTTAAGTTACATCACAGCCAGAAGTTCTCACATAGCAGATGCTGCTGTACCTCTCATTCCAGGTTCCAGAGCAGAGTGTTTGGCTAGCAGTCCTGTTGAATCATGAGATGAGATCATAAAGGTAAAAGCATATGGAAGACTGTAGGCACAGATGAGAACACTTTTGGTTTGGCGGTTCAATATTAATTCCCAATCCCACATCCCTTGTTCAACAGATGCTTTTCCAGCTTCCTTTAAATTTAGTGGTTGTTACTTGACTCCCTTTTAGCCAATGAATCTAGGGAGGACTTGGAAAACCATTGTTTGCTTAAGTAAGGATGGTTGGTAGAACATTTCTCCCACCTTTCTGGCTCATGTTCCTAAAGCATGAAATGTTTGGCATTACAATGATCTTGTATTCATCAGGATGAGGAAGGCGCAGAGACGACCCAACACCTTCACACTGTCAGCTGTTCACCACCTTTTGAATTTTCTTTCTGCTGGAATCGAGATCATGTGCCATCATGCCCAGATGCTCATGAGTATTTTTAAGTAAACAATAAAGCCTTGATATGGTTTAAGCCACCATAAGTTGCATTTTTTCTTCTATTAACCATGTATCTCTAATTAAGCACTACAGATAATGCATATGCTCAACGATAAGAAACACACATTAGTCAGCATGGTACTGTTGTGCTTGCCATGTGGGTAGAGGCTCAGTAACTGAACATGAATGGAAGGATTAATGTAAAAATCAACATCATGTGATTATTATACTTGCTGTAGCACAAGTGGAACTTCCTTTTAAAAGGTATGCTATGTGAAGTTATGAATGTAGAGATGAAACACAGGGACCAGAACCAAGCATTTCTGGCCACTGGAGAGAATTTTATTTAAGTTAAGAACAATCTTATTTTACATACCAATCCCAGTTCCCTCTCCCTCCCATCCCTCCATTCCCTCCACTAACCCCCCATCCACTCCCCAGGAAGGGTGAGGCCTTCCATGGGGATCATCAAAGTCTGTCACATCATTTTGGGGCAGGGCCTAGGCCCTCCTCTGTGTATCTAGGCTGAGTTTCCCTCCATGGAGAATGGGCTCCCAAAGTCCATTCTTGCACTAGGGATAAATACTGGTTCTACTGACAGAGACCCCATAGACTGCCCAGGCCTCCCAGCTGACACCCACATTCAGAGGGCCTGTGTTTCTGTCATGTGGGGACAGGTATGATGACAGTGGGAATGAGGAATGGAGAGGAATCAGGATTCTCTCTTTTTTTTTTTTTTTTTTTTTTTTTTGGATACAGAGTTTCTCTGTGTAGCTTTGGAGCCTATCCTGGCACTCGCTCTGGAGACCAGGCTGGCCTCAAACTCACAGAGATCCGCCTGCCTCTGCCTCCTGAGTGCTGGGATTAAAGGCGTGTGACACCAACGCCATGGCAAGAATCAGGATTCTTGATGCTTTCAGTAGAACATGGGATGATGTCAGACTTTCTGGAGAACTTCAAGAAGCTTTTCTGGGCTCAGTCAGTGTTAGTGTGTTCTTTGAGTCAAGCAGTTGTCTGTGGTGTGGATTTGAAAGACAAGCCTTTTCTAAAAAGGGTGGCAATAGTAACTGGAGTCACCTTAAAACAATTTATAAAAGTCAGACCTGTAAAAGATGTACAGACTGAAGTTTTCAGTATTGTAGAATCATCTCATACAAAAAGTTTCCCATGAAGTGCAGGCAGGAAGAATGTAGGTACCAAAGAAAACTGGAGAGGTGTTGACAGGACCAGAAAAGAGAGGCTACTCCCTGCCGTGGAGCCCATCAGCTCTTCATCGCTGAGAAAACACACTGTATTCCTGAACAGCGCTGAGGGACGACCCCTCAGATGCTACCCAGCTGGACAACTGCAGCCAGAGTTTACAGTACTGAAGCAGTGATCAAGATTTAAAATATATACTTTGAGGTTACACCGCCCTTCCTTTCTCTCATTCTGCAATAACCCTTCTGCTTCCCAGATCCTATCTTGGGATTGATTTGAAAGGCTACAGTGAAGGTATTCCATTTTGTCAGTCTTATACACAGGGAACAAGGTCCCTGGCCCCTGTTTGAAGTCATGGGAGCAATACTAATATTCCATGCATACCCTTACCACAGTTATACCAACTGGGGATGCCCATTCCATTTCCTGTGGATTTTCTTTAATGTTTTTGTAGACTCAAAGTCACCTTACTCCAGAGGAGCTGTATTTGCCTAGTTATGTACAATTTCTAAACATAGTGGTTTATGTGACTATATTCCCTGGGAACTTGGATGGAGATAATGAGCATGCCATTCTCTGACCTGCTCCCAGTGGAGCTGTCTACATTATTCATTCAAAGTTTGCAAATTACCTTGGAAATGTAAAATGTCATGTAATTTCTATATATTATTCCTAATAATATTATATTATTACATTGAAGTAGCACACAAATTTTAAATCAATAATTTATTCATAAGTTGGA